GGGTGTTCTTAACAGTCTTCTCTTCAGTATTCAGTTGATGCTACGTCAGTTAAAGTTTAAGGAATTCTAGAGGGAAAAAATTCTTTGGACAACATTCTAAAGCATACCATGCATTAGTGGTTTTCATTCTGCAATGGCAACATTGTTGCTCTTTTTGAAAGGCAGATAGTAGGTATTCCCATGTCTTCCATGACCATTCACCTGTTACTAGTGATTAGAAAAAAAGCACGAACAATGGCTACTTTCCTAGAGAAAATAATATGATATTAACATAACTTGCTTTCTTATAAACAATGAGAACATGCTTTCTTTAAACAAAATTGACTCACCAATTTGATCCATACTGATTGATGAATGAAAGCTAGAATAACCGGCGGAAGAAAAAAACCTATATGTAGGTCCCAATTTCAGAGCGAACTCAATAACAGAAGCCATTCACTTTGTTAAGCTTTTTCATGCAATTACTCCAAGCTCAATTAACTAGGAGAAAAAAAGAAGAAAGACTACAAGTTAAGCCATTATACATTAGTGAGAGGCTTCATGAACATTGACCGATTTAATTGTTTCTGTCCTAATTCACAAAGTAGATAATTATTAGTACGACAAGTATGGATGAAGCTGATGCGATGTAAAACTTCTAGATGTAGAATAGATTTTCCCCCTCTCTTTTTTCATGTGATGAGTGTCTGCCTAGGATAGATAATAAAGAAAACAGAGCAACGGGTAGTTCATAAAAACTTTATGATACTGCAATGATCAATGTATACGAATACCTTTCAAGTCAGTACATCAATCAGAATCTGAACCGTTTGCTATTTTGACAGCATGAAATCAGTGATTGAAAGATACAACAAAGCAAAGGAGGAGACTCATAAATTGGGAGATCCAAGTTCCGAGGTCAAGGTAGGTTTTGCTAGCTAATTTGCGGTCAACTAGTCAAAGGACAAAATGCATAATAGTTTCCTACATACTTACTTTCTCCCATTAACTGTCTATAATTTATGACATATCAAAAGGAACTTCCTTTCATGTTAAAATCCTTAGGGTTCTCTTCTCCTCCAAGTATAGTACTCCCTCCGTTCCAATTTATGTGAACCTATTTCCTTTTTAGTCCGTGTCAAAAAGAATGACCATCTTCCATATTTAGAGCGACAAGTGAGGCTTGCTCAGTTGGTAATTTGGGAGGGGTTTAAAAAAAAAAAAAACTTCCATATTTGAAAACAATTTATCTTTGTGCAATGATTTATAGCCACACAAAATATATGTGCCTTATTTTACACTACAAGTTCAAAAATCTTGTCTTTTTTCTTAAATTCCGTATCTAGTCAAATAGGTTCACATAAATTAAAATGAAGGGAGTATCTTAATTAGATACACTCTAAAAAGAAAGAAGTGATATGACCTCAGAAACAAAACCAGTCATAATATGGTCTGCTAGGGAAAACAATAGACAGACATACAGACAGCAATGCAGAAGAATAAGACTTGGCATTTGACTTTTCAGAAGATTACTAGTCGTCAGACTTGTAGGGAAAGAGTACATGACTTTCCAGCACTTTATATCCGTAGTGTTTGGGCCAACTTGCGTGTACCTTGACTAATTCCACAAGCTACATGCTATATCCTACCAACACAGCTACTGGGTAACTCTGTCCACCAAAGCTTGTACAGATGAGAAAAATCACCAACTGTTTTTGCCTCACTGGGATTTGAACCTTCACAGCATATTATACTAGTATCAAGCTTTTTTGACAATGTAAAAGAATCAGGACTTTACAGCACATTCTTTCATGCATCTGCAGCTTACTTATTTGTTTTGTGCACTAAAGCATACATCTTATTACTATAGAAACCTTTTCTTCCTTGAGTGCCAAAATATTTCTATATACCTACATCTAAATTTATTTTGACGTTCTATAGCATCTAAGTTTAAGATACTTACTGTTACTGTTAGGATCGGGAACCTGGGTAGTGCGGAATTTAGCCAAACAACGTTATAATAACAATAACAAAGACAATGCAATACAGCAATTAAAGCATATAAAGAAGACACAAATTTAACGTGATTCGGTCAAAGTGACCTACGTCTACAAGCGGAGAGGAGCAATTTCACTATACCAATAAGAGTACAAAAGAGAGTACAAAATTAGAGTAAAAACTCTAATTAATCCCAAATACTCTAAGAGAATAACCTCACAAGATCACTTCAAAGAAAGGGTTCACACAAGTGCTTCCCAACACTCAACTCTCATACAAAACACTTTTAATAAAGGAGGAAAGGAGAAATAAGAAATGAAGACTCAAGTCTTGTTGGTGTGATTAAAATGAACTAATGTCCTTTCCTTTTATAGGCAAAAAAGTCTTGGCCTCTTAGTTGTAAAAGAAAAGATACAACTTGTGCAAATGATATCCACCACACAATGCAATATTTTTGGGTCCCAAAGAATATTGCCAACAAAGTCTACATTTTGCAAATATGCTTATGCTTACGTGAGATGGATTCCATTTGCCAAAATATTGGCCATATTACAGTTGCATTTACCTTACAACCAGAGACGCAACCATAATTTGAAGTTTATGGGTTCTACACTTGCCATCGAGCCCATAACTCGTCTTAGTTACTGGATTCACAATTAAATATTTATACACATTTAATGAATTTCCTAATACAAATACATGGTCTAACCAAAAGCTACTAGGTTCGTCTGAACTCTAAGTGATACTCTAGCAATTTACAATAAAAGCAATAACTACGCCTCAATCCCAATGCAGTTGAGCTCGAGTATATGAATCCTCACTTCTCCATTTAAGCACAATTCATATCATCATTGTCCCAGGTAAAAAAATAAATAAATGTGATGAATAAGTTATATATATATATATNAATATTAGAAGTTCTTCAACAAGACGTAAAAAGATACTTGAATTGTTAGTAACAAGCTTAAGCAAAATAATAGGTCGTCGGTGTGAAGCCCTCCCAGGAGCACAGAAAGTCTAGAATCTATAGGCAGTATAGTAATGCTGCCAGCAGACCACTAGCATGACAAGAGAATTCTCAAGGACAATTTATACTTTCAAAATTAATAAAAATGGAATGATACCATGAACTTGGATCCCAATTCTACAGAACTTGGATGCCAGCAGCTACACAATATTCCAATTCAACCTCTCTTAGTTGTACCCGTGATCTGGATTGATTCCATGAACTTGGATCCCTGGATCGTTGGATTATGATTCTAATATTGAGGAGAAGAACATGCACATGCATGAAAGGATGCGTCAATCAATTCCACAACCAAATGGGCAGAGAGAATGGAGATCCTCATTAGCTGATACCTGTTCTACCATCTCCATTCCACCCCGGCTATTTGGAGAAATGGAGGAATGAACTAAAGATGGAACCTATGATGAATTCCATTAATGGAAAGGGCAAATATAATTCCATTAGTGTTGTGGCAATCAGAAGAAGATCTAGAAGAGCGGGAACATGCATATCTTCCACTACTGGAAGCACAACATAGCTACAGAGGTGGTGCCAAGTAGGAAGACTTTTTAATAATAAGAAGAAAGCATCCCAAATGGCTTAATGGCTCATCAAGGAAGCATATTTTATAGGGTTACTTCTGCAACTCCACTTTATTTCGGTATGGGAACTGAAACAACAACAAAAAAGCACATATGAAAAAGGCTTGCGACATCTATAAACTGGTAAGTGAAAAGAGTTGTCAAGACATTCCCTGTAAAAAAGCTCTAAACTGTTTGAAAACAAGATAATTTCATCTTTAGCGCGAAAGACTTTGGCTTTGTCATTTAGGTATACATTGTAGGGCACCTCAGAGAGGGAGTAGATATTCATGCTAGCACAGGGCAGGAAGTTTGATGAACTAATGCAGGTCTAGCAATTGGAACAAGGACTCTGGACAAATTAATTTCCTCCCACAGAAGAGATACACACACTTTAGATGCGCCAATCAAGAACCTTATGCAGTGACTGCATTTATCAATAGCATTTTGGAATCAATGGGAATATCATTTCATGACCTGTGCCCGACAAAAAGTAGCAAATGAGGAACAACACTCTTATATTGACAAGTCTATTCTTTTAGACCCATCTGCTGTCTTCATACTGCAAATCCTGGCGATGACTACACACAAATGCTAAGATAAAGAAGCTCAAACTGCTTTTAGAAACATGGAAGTTCTTGACAGTTAATAGTTCGAAGGATCAAACGACTGTCCGAGAATTTAAGAGCTTTTAAGTCATTCTGGCGCTTAGCACTTTTCCTCTAGGAACTAAAAGGCATCCGACAATATTTCGCAGCAGTTATCCTGGATTATGACCATTAGGGTCACTCCATTTCCTTAACAGTGGAATTATACTCTTATATTTACCCTCTAATCATATCCCAGCTAATCAGTTTTGAATGTGGCACTATTGATGTTGCAAGTTGAAGTCTCTAAAGAATTATCTTCTAGAACAGAAGATAGTAAAACTGAGGATGCTAAACTTTATACCAAGATGACAACAAACATGGAGCTGTTACAAACTTGGCCACTCGTTGCATTATCATAATGACATTCTGGGATAGCACTGGTTGAAGGTCTCTGGTTCAAACAACAGTATCCAGCTCTATAAGACTGTCACGAATCTTAGCTTAGTCATGTCATCTTTCCACTATTTCAAGACTAATCATCTAATCCTTCTTTGCAATTGGTGCAGGGGAAACAGAAGTCAGAAGGTGTGTGTTCTTTGGACTATGAGAAGCTGCAAGAGAATAAAAATTTCCATCAAAATATAGTTCGTTCTGCTTTACAGATTAGTATTCAATGATGCAGGTCAAAACATAGGTGAAGAAAATGTGATTAAAGGGAAAATAACAGAAACTCTGGACCTTCACATTTTTAGAAGTTACATGGCCCTGATACTACTGCCAAACTGAAGTGAGGTACCAGTCTCTTGTATAGCTGCATTAGATCTCAGCATAGCACAGAAACTCTTCCTGTGTTCAGGGGATTTTTATCTGACAGAGTGCCATAATAGTTCAGTTAGAGCAAGGAGATCTGGAAATGGTGGTTCTGTATTTTCTGGTAAGATTGATCACAAAAGCAGCTCTTGGTCCCCCTTAATCAGGTGCCTTTTAACCCAAATATGACTGCTCCGTGCTGCCATGATTTAGCATATACTGAGATTTGTCCTCAGATGCTAATGCCACCATCATGACATCCACTGCTCATGTCTATGGCACTTACTTAAAACAGTACACAAATACTCGAGCATCTCGTTAGAACTATAGCATAAGTTCCAATCAGGATTCCAAGTCCTAATTTCCTGTACTTGAAGAAAAGCAAAAAAGGTTTACTATATTATAGGAATCTAAGCGATTCAGCTAATGCAAACACCCTGAGTAAAATGATGAGGCTAGACTGACTGGCCACAATTTAGAGCTACATCTGAACCCAAGAGATATAATCCTGCATATCCTTTTCCATAATAAGTCATACCATCATTTGAACCAAATGTCAAGTACTGTCAACTCACTGAAGATGCAACAACTTCCGGAGATGCAAAAACAATTAGCCAATGGATATCCCAGCTCTCATGCTGCACACCTAGATGCACGCTAATCATGTACCTTATACTCAAATCACTTAAATTCTCAAATCACTTAAATTCCCACAATTATTTGCTTAAACCAAAGAATAGAATAGAAGCGCCCACATTCAGAAACAGGGGTAATGGGTAGGAGCTAGTGTAGAACCCTAAAGACAGGCATACACAATTAGTTAAAAGATTCCCTTTTTCTCAAACTCAACATCTTCATGCATGATAAATGTTGACCGGTTTGGACTATCATATGCACAAGAGTCGTCCATCTCATTCACTTTAACAGGTAATAACTAATTTAACAACCCCTTGCATTTCCAATTACTTTCAGTCCTCCATAAGTCTAATATATTTTCCTGTCGAGAGAAAAATTCATCTTATTTTGCTAGTAAACTACAGTAAGACAAACACAAGTCATATTTGGACATAGATTAAATCTTCACCTCAAAATTCAACTGCCTGAGATTGGAACATAAATGGTTTTATGTACATTTTTCACCTTGATACCATGATATCACATATAATGCAACCACCTACTTATAAAAACTTCTCAATACAACCTCAAAGTTACAAGGTGTAACAGAATATGAAGGAACAAGTTTTTACTGTAATTAGAAAATAGAAAAATTATGCAAAGAATCACTCTAGTACTCTTCCCAGGTACATGGCTTACATACCTGCTCAACATTCTTGGAAAACAATCAAATCGAGGGTTCAGACGAGATTCTCCATTCTTAGTCCAATTTTTACATGTCTACCTCCTTATCTCTGATGTCCAATTTATAACCTTAGATTCATTATAAATTTGCTGACCTATTAAACTGTATCTAGCCATAAAGAAATCGTAGCCTAGTGAGAAAACTAAGCACACGTGCATTTCCAATTAAGTTACACACAATGAGGGACAACTTTTTAAAATAACACATCGGCAATACCTATACTACAATTGTAACTAGTCATCGTAAAAGAATTTGAGCATCCAATCCAAAATAGCAAGGGAATGAGTGGAGTAACTTGAGACCTTATAAACCATTTTGGATGTCATAGGCTTTATATAACTCAACACCTTCCCACACATATAACCCGATTTTGGAATTCACACATGGACTTTAATATGAACTTACTAGTGAGAGAATGGATTTCTCAATATTCGCTTCGGTACTATGTTAAAAAATTTGAGTACCAGCTCAAAAATCTTAAAAGTAATATATGAATTACCCCATAACCTTTATAAACACCTATAGATGCCCTTGTATACTTGAACTAGGACATTTTATAAACTAAACACTCATTTAACAAACCAAAAAGAGGCCTTTGCCTCGTCATACTATCCCAATGCAGTGAAATTTATAGTCATCCATTCCAAGCCACAAGGGTTCTATCTTGCACCAACAGATATGGTTGCAACCTTAAGTTGTATTGGGAGGTGAATGAAAGTACTAGATGACGAACCAATAGCGTCAATTGTCATAAAAAATTTAAAATAATATAGTAAATAAAATTCAAAAATGACTGTGAAAAGGACTAAATACTTTTACAAAAACAAATAGACATATTTTATTTTTGTTTGCTTTTGAAATGGTATTTTGTTTTTTATTTGGGTTAATGATACAAATTCTAGAAAGCAACAACAGCTCATTATTTTCTTTAAACCATTTTTGAAAGGCTTGTTATGGCTTTTGATATGTGAAGCGATCTTATTAACCTTGTCCTGTACCATCATTAAAAGAGTAAAAGATATGTGTTGGAAGATTAACTTATCACTAAACTTGGGCCACCAGAGAGATGGGTCATGAAAAACAAACCTAAGTAGCATTTCCAGTTGAATGTGGCAACAAAAGTTGAGCTTGGTTTGCCAGTAATTCTGCATTACTGTAGTCATAACACAAAAAAACATTTATTGATTTCTCTCTTATTGAACAAATTTACAAATTTATATCTTTTTTGTGCAGTTTTGGCAAAGGGAAGCTGCATTGCTGAGGCAACAACTAGAGAACCTGCAAGAGAATCATCGGTAAGCTCTTTTTTCTAATTAGCATAATTTTTCATGTTGTGAGTGAATAACTTATCCAACTACCTTTGGACTAAACTTATCCAAAGGCATGTTGACCATATTGTTAAATCCATAAGGTTGGACTTATTTTGGTAACTTGATGTTCGTTGTAGTTTTATTTTATTTGGTGAATCCCAAACCAAACCCTCCACGGAGGCCAACAATGGAACTTTCCACTCTCCCGATCTCCAAACCTCTTGATTGGAATTGGAATTGGAAGGCAGCCATTATCTAATATTGGAATAGTGTTCCTCACAGAAGTCATCTCATTTAACAAACCGAAGTCTTTCCTTCTTTGAACTCTTGAAGTGTTTGAATACCTAGTCCATTTTACATGGAAAGTTTTTTAAAGAACTGTCCCCAAAACAGACATTGTTTTCTTGAAATCAAACAAAAATGGTTTCCAAAAAACAAAGCAATTTAAGGTAGTTTTTTCACAAAACTAGCACAACTATTCTTAAAAGCATATTGCTCAAAGGTAATACTAATACATAACCTTTCTCCAAATTACACAACTTTCTCAAAAACCTAACTTCCAGGAATTAAACCAAAAACAAATCAAAATGTCACCTCAGAATCTTCTATTCCATTGAGTTATCTATTAGAGCTTTTGTTGTTCCAGAAGAGATGAATTGTTCCTTCACTAAACTACTTGCTATTTAATCGATCCAAAGAAAACCTACTTGCTATTTAGCACTTAGCAATTTATCTGAAAATTTTATTGAAGTTCTTTTTTTTTATAAGGTAATGTAAATTTCATTAAAAAAGTACCAAGAAGGTACAGAAAGCATACAAAATTTCAGCACTGCCGAAAACTATTACAATCTCAAAACTTCTATAAAATCCATGTACTGATCTAAGTCTTCTGCCAAACTTCCCCTACACCAAAAGTATAAGTTATGAAGACAACTATTTCTAACACTAGCTAAATGATTCTACTGATTTTTAAAACATCTCTTATTTCTTTCCAACCAGATGGTGCAAAGATGCAAAGAGGTATGGTCCTCCAGATTCGCTTTAGATTTTTCCCGACTCTTTGATTCTGCCAACAAACCAATAGATCTTTCACCTTCTTTGGCATCACCCATTGCACAACAGTCAGAGCGAGAAACAGATTCCATATCTGGCTTGTATAATTGCAGTGCAAAAAAAGATGTTCTGCAGATTCCTGGGAATTTTCACAAAAAAAACATCTACTGCACAAAGGAGGAGTTCCCCTTCTCTGCAACATATCTTGAGCTAAACATGCATTTCTAACTACAGTCCAGCCAAAGCAAGCTACTTCAGGAGGTGCTTGTGATTTCCACAACATCTTCCACGGCCAAGTCAAATCCCAGTGACCTATTTGTTTTTGCAAAAGAGTATAACAGCTCTTTACTGAGAATTTGCCATCTTTCCCAGCTGGCCAAATCTGAGAGTCCAATGTACTAGCATCAAGTAGTACACTGTGTATTTCCTGGTTAAACTATACAATGTAGGAAATTTGTTCATCAGTTTATCATCACCTAGCCAGACATCTGTCCAGAACCTGATTCTGCTTCCATTTCCGAGCTTGAATGAGATGAATTTCTGAAATTCGAGCCATAATCTACTTATTTGCTTCCATACTCCAGTTTTTGATGGTATAGATACTGCACGAGGTGCCCAAAAGCCTTCTCTACCATATATGATGTCAATAACCTGCTTCCAGATTTTCTCTCCACCATCATTGTATCTCCACAACCATTTGAACGACAGACTCTTGTTATGGGGCTTTAAATTTTTAACTCCTAAACCACCACCTTTCTTGTCTTTAATAACTTCCTGCCACTTTACCAAATGATACTTTTTCCTCTCAGCCTTCCTTGTATCTCCACAACCATTTGAACGACAGACTCTTGTTATGGGGCTTTAAATTTTTAACTCCTAAACCACCACCTTTCTTGTCTTTAATAAGTTCCTGCCACTTTACCAAATGATACTTTTTCCTCTCAGCCTTCCTTGTATCTCCACAACCATTTGAACGACAGACTCTTGTTATGGGGCTTTAAATTTTTAACTCCTAAACCACCACCTTTCTTGTCTTTAATAAGTTCCTGCCACTTTACCAAATGATACTTTTTCCTCTCAGCCTTCCCCTCCCAAAGAAACTGACTTCTCATACGATTAAATTTCTTTTCCACACTGACTGGGATGGGGAAAAGAGACATCAAATATGTAGGAATTACATCCAGCACACCATTAATTAAAGTGAGCCTCCCACCTAAGGATAGATATTGAAGTACTTTACCTCCTAAGCTATCTTTTGAGCACTTTAAGCATCCTTCTATGAAATGCAGGCCCTAACTCCATTCCATTGAATTATCCCGTAGGCTAAGGGCAAAAGTTTTCTTTGTTTTTCGTTTTCCTTTGCTTGTATTTCCCAACCTCCACAATCAATATCGCCTCCTTTCCTCTCCTTTTTCTTTTCTTTCTTCCTCCCCTCCCGCACCACCAACAAACACCCTCAGTCCGTAGCTTATTCTCCTTCTCATTTTCCTCACATATTGGTGTCAAATAAAGATGTAGAGATAAAGAAAAAGAAAAAGGAAAGCTTTGATGAATTGTTTGCTGGTAGCGGGAGAGTGTTAAAAGAAGAAGAGAAGAATAGCGGGGAAGAGATGAGCCAAGATAATAACCAGAAAGAGACTATCATGAAGGAATATAAAATGGAAAAGTCTCCTTCACTGTATGAGAAAAGGCTAAAACTCATGTAAAAAGTTGAGCAGGTAATGTTCGGGAAAGTTCTAGTACTAGATAGTTAAAGGAAACTACATGCCTTACAGTTATTTATAAGTGGTAATTCTCTCACTCTATCTTCTATCAAATTCTCCTCTTCATTAGAAGCCAGATCTAATAACTCTCCTCCCATCACCTTCAGAATCAATAAAGATACCATTTATTCCAAACTTCGCTATTGCAAGCCGGGGCATCGTTATCACTCTTTCAGCCACATAAAAAGCCAAGTAATCTCCACTTATCCTACAATCGAGCGGCCTACTAATCCTGTGTTCTAGTGGACCTCCAAAATAGGCACCAATTTTGGTGATTCATACACTCATTTTGCTACAGATATATCCCAGAAGGACATAGGGATACTGGTGGTTATATTTAATCCATCATTACAATCTTAGGGCTCATACCAGATTATTATGGAGAAAACCACTATCATATCAAATGGAGATGTAAAGACGAATAATTAGAAAATTCCACATCAAAATTGAAGCAACAGAAGATGTGCAACATCTGTCTTGTCTGCTCGAGAACATGCATACATAATAAATGTTCGCTTCAATGCATTCACTGGTGCCAGAACAGATAAAAGATTATTCATGTGTATGACCATTGAGATAGGGTTCACTGCAAAATGAAGGAACCCTGCGATAACCTTTAAGGGAGAATCTTTTTCTTTATGTCCTTTTTTTTTGGGGGTGTGGGGGGATTTACAGGAACTAAATATGATGAAAACCTCAGCTTCCAGAAAATTCCTCAGTTGCCAGAAAGTAATATACACTCATCTACTAGTATAGGTGTGTTGGAATCAATAAAATACCTACTATGTCACGAAATCTTTCCTGTTTCCTTAAAGTATCAACATGGGATAAAAAACTTTTTCCCTTTTACTTGACTATAGTACAAGAAGTTCTGAACTTAAGGTATACCCTAGTTTAGTTACTTCTTAAGACACGGATTTCTTTCCTCTATACTGCACTTCTCTCATGCTCAGGCAATTAAAGATATTTTATTTCCGAGCACAAAGAGAGAAAAAATAACAGCACACAAACTAAACTTGTGCCAAGAAAGGAAACTTCAAAGGTTCTACTAGAGGTAGGTGTGCAATGTGTAGGGATGCCCCTCTATTATCTTCATGGATATTGAACACTGAAACGACCAGAATAGATAGCTTGAAACATTTTAGTTTTGAAATAAGAAGGCTCAAAAACCCAAATGTCCACTCGAAACTCTCCCGAAAGTATCAAATCTATAAGTGCTAACAGAAAGGACATTTAAGATCCCACCAGGCAGGTGGTGTTAGAAAATGAAAGGCGATCTGGAGAATAACTTTTTTAACTTTGGGAACACCTATTTATGGGGTTGAAATATATTTCTCCAACATGGGTGATGGGACAGTATAGCTTAACATTCTAGCCTGCCCCTTTAAACTCAAGGTGGAAAACCAACTTAAGTCGCTTATTTTGAATAAAACTTGGAACAGAATAAATTTGCCTGAACAAAGAATAGATTCCTGAGTGGTGGGTGAATAATTGCCAAAAAAGTGAATGGGAAGAGACACCATAAGTCCATAACCCCCACTGCACCCCCAAAACCAAAAGCCAGAGAAAGTTATGGTTAATGTGCAGCACACACAGAAGGAAACCTATCTTCAAACACAAGAAAGGAAGGTGCTATGATAATTTTCCCAGACATCACCGGTGTGGCAACCAAGTCTTAAATGGCAGCTGAACAGTAACCAAAATGGTGCCTGCGGAATATTGGCAGGAAGATGTCTGAAAATTTCTGGTAGCATGCAAGCCCAAAATAGTGGCAGGAAAGAGATGCGATGCCATGCCACTGATTACCCCAAGAACGATGATGAGAAAAATTTAAAATAGTTAAAGGAAAAACTTTGGTAAGGTGGATGTTGTTAGGGACAGACAGCTGGACGAGAAAGTGACTTAGGTCTATACTATGATCATGGAGGCTCTCATAACATACGAGAATATGAGAGATATTCTAAATAGGCATTGATATATTTAGAAGAGGATACACATACCTATGGTGCAATAAAACTAACACTAACATTCTACCAAGTGTTGCATAACAGTAAAAAAGGATGAGGCATTCCCGTGGAAATATACTTCTTGAAATACATTCACTACCATTAGTCCGATCAAGGGAAACTCAAATGACTAGCCACTATATTCCCTCGACAAGAATTATATTAAGCACAACTCACAATGAACACATAATCTTTATATTAATAAATTGTTAGCATGGACTTACCTTATACTTAATATAATATAGTACACGGTAACCTCCATTATAATAGTTACTATATAGTAAATCAGATGCAGATTTAGGAGGACTGCACATGATGTGCCTCACCAGTATAAGCTTACAAAACCAGTGAAAGTTGGATTTTTGTAATATCATACGGTATTGCGGATTTTTGTGAGCGCTCAAACTGTCAAGATTGTCATACCAAAACACCACGAATTGTGTAGCTATAGCTTTTTTGTTCTTTTTTTATAAGTAATATAGATACTTCTAGAAGAGAAACGAACACTACTAGTCTGTAGTTAAATCATGGATGTTATGTTAAAGGCCTAGATTGGCTTAAAAGATTTTTTCTCCTGCAGAAAAATGAAGGGTGAAGAGCTATCTGGATTGAATGTCAAAGATTTACAAAACTTGGAGAAGCAACTCGAAATGAGTCTTCGTGGCATCCGTATGAGAAAGGTATGAACTTTCACCTCCAAATGTGCCGTATATTATTTGTATAAATAGCACTGACAACCACTCCTTTCTGTAGGACCAAATTCTGATTGATGAGGTGCAAGAACTAAACCAAAAGGTCAACCACATAACTGCAGTCACTTCTTGTAATTATCCTATGAATTTCTCTGAGAAGCTAAACTCCCATCTGTTTATTTACAGGGAAATCTCAGCCATCAAGAAAGCATGGAACTTTATAAGAAGCTAGACCTAGTTCGTCAAGAAAATACAGAATTGTATAAGAAGGTATCGATGTATATCACTAGAAAAGATTTCACTTACGCTAGTAGATAATAATTTCCTTGTGTAATAAAAATCAAGACGAAAAACTTTAGTCATTCTGCTTCAAATATTTTTCTTCATGTTCTGCCGGAAATCAGGTTTATGGAACTAGAGATGCAAATGCAGTGAGCAGAAATGCCATGAATTCAAACAGTTTACGCGTCAATGAGGACCCTCATGCACCTCTTCATCTCCAGCTAAGCCAGCCTCAGCAACAACACTATGAAACACCAGGAACTACAAAATTGGGGTAACTTTCACGTCCATATAATTTGAAAGCACCAAACAAACTCCCCCACTATCTGGATCCTTGATTCTTGTCTTACTGGAATGCTGCAGGCTATCACTGCAGCAGTGGAGTTGATGCAGACTGTGCCATTAAGCTCTCTTCTCGATCAAGTACTCCATGCGCATGAATATATGTTTAAATTATTAAAGACTGGTATAGAACCCATAGATGTCAGGGAAAATTGGCCAATTGACCTGGTAAATGTAGCAAGTTGGCATGTAATAGGTATCCACAAAACAGCCACCCAAATCATGTTTAACTATGAATAAAGAAAATGTTAGCACAGCTAATGTTCTTCAACTGTCTTGATACTTCATGCTTGTGATGCATATGCCTATTAGTTAGGAATGCACTTAATCTGACAGATTAAAACTAAATAGAAATACTATGCAGACAACAGTTGCATCTCAGATAAATTACGCGAGAAAAGCACCAGAAGCAAACAGAATAAGAGCAGACCAGAAAACTGATCAAAGAGTACACTAAGATATACCTAAAAGCTGTATCAATATGCATTGCAAAAGCATCAGCAATGAGATGCTAACTTCATATTCACATCCATGCCGACTTTCAACATCTACCTAGAAAAAAGAAAATGTAACAGTAATATTGGTAAAGTCTTACCCAGCAATGATAAAAAAACATCAGTTAATGAAATCTTATAGTGGTAGGTCACTGAAAAAGAGGAAAAAAGAATGAACAACATGAAAGACTAAATAATGGGGAAATATGCACGGCGAGAAGTAGATCAATTCAGTAAAGTACACGAGATATGCCCCGTAAAGTGATCACCACATTCTTAGCTAGTTAAAAAATATGCTGAAATCTTGCTTAAATGAAGTCATTTCTGGATTCCAAAGATCCCAATGCTAAAGACTATCGGACTAGTTTGCACAATAAATGCCATTTCAATGTACTACAAAAGCCAAAGATATCATAGAAATTTCAGTTTAGTATCACAACTTTGAGTTTTGGTTCAAAATGCCGTCTATTGAGATAATCCCCCACTCAAGTGAAATTGCATGTCAACCTAGAGTTAAACAATATCGCAAAAACTATTTTTACCCTAGCCACTTTCCCGGAAAGCTAGAGTAGACAATCACGTTTCTAATAACTTTCAGGGGCAGGGAGAGATAGCAAAAGTGATGGATGAAAAGCGGCATGGATAGAGAAGCACATGCCATTTTTTACATTTTAATTGTTTCATCACTTAACCATGCAAAATAATGAGTGGCCAGAATGGAATCCCATAAGATGCGTGACTTCATCATGTGACAAATTAACTGAAAGTTGATATGGAGATGGACACAAGATTAACATCCATATCTCAGGAAAAAACCAAAGAATTGTTTCAAGGGTACTAAGATACTACAAGAAACTGATGAAACAGCTACTATTTATTGACTTGAATATGTGTTACTGCCTCTGCCTCAAATAATTCGACATGAATTTTTTTTTTTATCAAGAATATTCGGTTAAGGCAAAAAAACGCAAAAACAAAACAGTTATCTCAAACATTTTAAACAGGACAAATATATTCTAAAACTATGTGAAAATGAATTATATGCTCACAGAAGTTTGAACTTTAAGGTGTTAGAATATGTTAAATACAAAAAAAGTCAAATTTTTTAAAAGGATATAACTATCGATTAGTATTGTATGATGCAATTAAATTTATAATCTAGTCAAAATATGACAATACGTCCAAAAAAATTCATGGCATCATGAACTATGCACACACCTTTTCACAAGAGTCCACATCTATAAAAAGCTTTCCAAAAGGAAGTATAGCAAACACAAAGGTTAGGTGTTGCTTCTTGTCCTAGTGCATGCGGTTTATACTTAAGTATAAGGTAAAATGCATTTAGTTTAATAATATGGGAGCAACATTTTCTGAGAGAAATCATAAACAGGTAATACTAATAGGATCACTAAGATTTTGCAATCTTATGTGATCCGATAACATCAAAATCTACTACAATAATGGTACCTCAGCCCTCTTTGTTTCTACCTACCAATATGAATCAATTTCCCAAATTTAGACAGTAGGATCATGTGATCGTGTGGTCAAAATCAAAATTTTAACAACATATAGTAAACTAGAACTTAAATATGGATTGGAATAGGGAGAAACACAAATTGAATGAAAAACCAAACTAAACCCACTTTCCGAAGATCTTATCCTTCTCTCGTGAATCAAACATTAATTGCAACGATTTGATAGATGACTTATTTGGATGATGTAGATGACAACCCCCCCCCCTCTCTAGAAACATATAAGAAGTTTTCTCCTCATACCACTCAAGAAAAATGATTGATTCGAGGTTTGGTCTCTATGGAATTCTATCTAATAAATGACAAATGGGCCCATAAATTGAATGAGAACACAAATTTTGGGCATCAAATTAGTTGCTGAGAACCAAAATTTTCCATGGTTTAATTTTAGACTTTTTTGTGTGGAGCAAGAAAGTATTTAAACAAATGAATTAACTAAACAAGATGAATTCTTACTTGCAATGAAGAAGCCTAATTTATTTATTTATTTATTTTCATGATGGTGGTTTGTGGAACAACTTAGGCTATCTTGACTAGTCCGCCGGGTTTCTGTTATCTCCCACCAATATAGATATCAGATAATTCGCACAAAGAACTCACCTAGAGTCGTCTTTGCTTGAGTCATACATTGGTTCTCAATTTTGCCACTGCAGCTCTTTGACGGCAAGACCACTCCCCTTTGAAGCAAGAGAGGCCTTATTTCATTATAGCGCAAGAATAAAGAAAGACCAAAGATATGATATAATTAATATAATAATGGGACGTCTATTGGATTATGAGACCCTACATCACTAACTTGAAGGGGAAAAACCTTGCAATATGTCAAAGACTCCTAAGCAAGGGTACCTTGGCGTCGACAAGTTTACTAGATGCGAGTTGGTATTCTAGTCCATCGTCTAGTACAGACCATTGTTGTGAAGACGTCCATGTTCTTTTAATATGTGAAGCCGCTGGAAGTTACATGGGGTCGTACCATCGGTGGATTGGATGTACATGTTGTGAGTTCTAAAAGATATATATCTAACTCTATCTATACTTATTTTCTCTCTATACTTGTTTTTAGGGGGTGTACAAAGAAAACCGATAAACCCCACCAAATCGATAATCCGAGTCAAACCGGAAAAAAAAGGGATGTGGTTTGGTATTGGAAAATAAAACCCGACCATAATTGGTTTGGTTTGGTTTTAACTAAAAAAAATCAAACCGAAACCAAACCAACCCGATAGTACATTTATATAATTTTTAAAAATATTTTATACATTTAAATATCTATTGTAATATAATTTTTAAATATTTCTTAAACTTTTTCACAGTTTTATCTTTTAACGTATTATTTCAAGTTTAGACTTAACATTCTTGAATGGTAAAAATATTTTATAGCCCATAAATGTAGTAATTCAAACAAAGTTCAAATCAATAATAATGCTAACAAGAGAAATTCAATTCAATACTAGGAATGACGATAGTGTTGGATAATTATTTTAGTTTTACATTGGTTTATAATGAAAATGCATAACTTAGTTTATCTTTTTCTTTAGTACTTAATTATGTAATTAATATTAGTACTTATCAGCTATACTTATTTTAGCATGACCTATATAGTATTTTTAGATTATGTTAATTTTCATTATGACTTATTAATTAACAATATTTGTTTTATGTAATTTTATTATTTTATCTTTGTTATTGAATATTTTAGTATAATGCTATGACTTATCTCATATTATTGTGTTAATTTCTTGGAAAACACATTATATAGTTGTATTTTACTAAGACTTAAGAAATATTTGGAGCACAAGTTACATATTTTATGCTATGAAGACTTTACCGGAAAAAAATCCAAAAACCCGAAAAAACCAAGAAACCCGAGATTGAAAAACCTGACTTTGTTGGTTTGGTTTGGTTTATAAATTTAAAAACCCGACACCATTGGTTTGGTTTGATAATTGAAAAATCCGAACCAACCCGACCTATATACACCTCTACTTTTTTTTCATACATACTTATGGAGGTCGTGAGTTCACATATTTCCAAAGGATTACTATTTCAGATAATGTCTAAAGGAAGGAAAACGCACCACGCGCACAACCATAACACAGTACTAAGATTATACCACACAGGCATAAAGCATGATTCTCTCCTAGTCTAACGTACACCAGCTGTACAATAACCATTTTAAATATCAAGATATGGTTCTTCGAACTGGAATGATGAATCAATAGCAATAAACAAAGCAGAAAAGAAACAAACAAAAGAAAAGTTGACATGTGACAACAAATACGCAGGCACCAAATATTCAACAAGCTGGAGTACCACTAGCAAAACTAGTACTCCAGTACTCCTAAAGCTTAACATCAAATACGAAAAGGATGCTTTTTAGCGTCCTTAAAGAAATGAAATTCCAATAACTCTGAGCACAAGTGGATCCAACATAGGGGAAGTGAAAACACACTGCCTCGGGTATATGTTAGACCGTATACTCATTGATTTTAAATCCTGAACCAACATATGCGACTAAGCTAGATACGAGCAAAAAGTAACAAAACTAAGTAATGCGTGCTACAAAAGAAAATTATTTGATCGACTACAATACAATGAAAGAAGCGACATAACGGACCTGAAAAACGAAGCGATGGCTTTTCCATAATTGCTAAGATCGTGATTACAAATGATTATAATTGCCAACTTAAGATCTTCAAAAGTTCAAAAAAGAAGCAAAACGTTAAAACAATTAAAACGGATACAAACTAACAAGTGGTAAAGAAATTACGTTACTATCAAAAGAATGTAAAAAGCATAAAGATATTGAATTTAGCTGGCCCGGACCCGACCGTTATCAAACAGAAAAAGATATTGAATTTCGCGTGTCAGTGTTCTCTTGCGGCCTTTCTCAGGAAAGAAACAGCAAAAGCTGAATTGAATCACGCCAATTAACATGCATTACGATTCATGTAGTGATCGATTGAACGGAAAAAGAAAAACTTTTAACAAAAATTGCAATCGCGTACCAAAATCAAACAATTTGATTAGAGGATGTACGGAATTTTGAAGAAAGAGAAGGATTTCGATTGCATTTTGCTTCTGAAAGGAATTTTGAAGAGTTGAGTTCATACCTAACAGTAAAAGAGGTTTGATAGAGATGGAGAGAGCGGTCAGAGAAGCGCAACTGAACGGGCTTATATCAGAGCAGAGCAGATAGAGAGAGAGAGACGTTAATAAATATCTGGAGAAAGGGCTTATATAGGGAAGAACACCTGAGAGGGTACCAGTGCGCGTAGGTGTGGGGTCGGGGATGCAGGAAATTGTTTGGTGCATATACCAACACATTTGCACCTATTTAGTCATATTTTTTTTTTAAGTTTATAGCCGATAGTCCATTATTTTCTTGTAACAATATTTATACACTTATTATAATATTATTATATAATATCATAAATTTTGTATTGTGTTGTATAATGCTGAAGTCTGAACGCAGAAAATGGATACAAACTTCAACTCACAAAAAATATCACCAAATAATTTTAAATTCTAACCACAACTTAAAAACAATATTTCAATGAAACTCAATCATCAATTCGTGAAAAATTTCAACAAATCACAAACCATTTATGAGTTTTCAAGCTTTTTAAAACGTCAACAATCAAGTGTTCAAATTTTCACTTCAATTGTCATCTTACGGGAATCTGTTAACCTCCCAATCACGATACTCTGTACAATGCCTTTCGATCTCCGTATGTGAAACAAGAGATTAAAGTTCATCCTAAATATGGAGCATTTGCATTTATTTTAAGTGATGTAATGAACTGCCACAAGCTTTAATTAACATGGTCATTAGCACGAGGTCTAAAATGAATGTAGGTTGTTTAAAGATTTCATTCCTCTAGGCTTACTAGTAATAGAAAAGCAATCCATTTTAGTTAAATTTTCACAGTGATTGTTGGTATGCTTTTGATAATATTTTCTAAGTATGTACAATATAGGCTTGGTAATATGGGCCACTTTTGATTATAATATGGAGTCAACTGTATTTTCTAATATTGTTTTCTACTTTTTTATAATTGATGTTTGGATTAATTTATATGTACCTCGAGGTCGATTATTTCATAAGTACTTATTATTTTTATTAACACATAAGTATGTAATAAGATTAGAAGTAATTATCACCTACCATTCTTTCTATCTCCATTGAAATATAAATGCTGATCTTTCATAAAGTTTCATCCCACTGCATTCATCGTTAAGTGTATGAATTATGATTTGTCTTTTATATAAATTTCATTATTTATCTATTGTTAACTAATATATACTCCATTTATTTATTTTATTTTGTTTGATGCATGCATTTAGTTCTCAGTTCTACCTAATTTTCCATAGAATTAGCTAGGACTGCCGCCACAAGTACAACCACGAGATTAGGACGTACCAAGATGGTTATATATTCGGATGCTTGTGGTCTTTGATTCGAGGAGACCAGCTTCTTTTGATTTTCTTGAGGATTGTTGTTTCATGCAACTTGGCCAACTTGGGATTTATTCTAATTGTACAACTTGGCTAGCTTGTTAGGTTTTTGAGCATTTTATTACTCGGCTCGAGGTTAATGTGTCAAAATCCCACCACAGGTGTCGTGATCACACTTAATCTCTAAGATTAGATAAACCGATTATAATAATAATTCAAGCCATTTTTTTAAACATATAATTTAATACAAGTATCAAAACCAACAGCGAAAATATTCAAACAACCTCCCAAGACTGGTAATACTGAGTCACGAACTCTAACTGAATACATGGAATGATCTCGAGGACCGAATATACAATATTATTCTAATAAGAAATTAACAGTACAATAAAAATGGAAAGACTCTAAGGGACTGCGACGAACAAGTAGCTCTACCTTAAGTCCTTGCGATCACACTCTAACTTTGTCTGAGTCCGATATCTTCAATATCTGGCTCTGCACAAAAATGTGCAAAAGTGTAGTATGAGTACACCACAGTCGGTACCCAGTAAGTATCAAGACTAACCTCGGTGGAGTAGTGACGAGGTACAATCAAGACACTCACTAGTCTAATAACCTGTGCAATATAGTATATAAAAGTAATAGAAAACAAATAGCAGTGATAGCAATAATAATCAACTAGTGATGTAAACAACAAAGCAACAAGAACTCCATAAATATTGCTCAAACAGATAATGAATATAAGTACAACCAATAATCAAGCCCTTCAAAATATACACCTTTCATCTATAAGTTTTTCAATAAAAATCTCTAGAATATAATCATTTCCAATAAATATATTTCGAATATACTTCCTTCAAATAAATATCTTTCAAATATAATTCTTTCAAATAGATATCTTTCGAATACAATTCTTTCAAATAAATATCTTTCGAATATAACATTCTTTCAAATAAAAGTTACCATGTGGCACTTCATTTCATAATCATAAAATACGGGCCTCAACTCACTTTCATATTTTTCGTAACACGGGTCTCATCCCACTTTCATATTTCCACGGCACCTCGTGCCCATATTTAAATCATCATCTGCACGGACAGTTCACGTGCCAATAATAAAAACCATCATATTTTCCCCTGACACCTCGTGCCCACATTTCATATTTATTGTAGCGTACAACCAGATCCCATATAACATTAATCATATCTATTGCGGCGTGCAACCCAATCCCATATAACATTATCTGCCCGGCCATAACCACAGGCTCACGATTTGATCAACATAGATCAGACTATTATCAAGTTCACTGAAACAACAAGGCAAGTTGCATAAGATATAAGGATAAACACAAGGAAAATCACAACATCACATAAAAATCACTAACACAATAATCTCACATCATCACATATCATCCCTGGCAATAGTCACCCTTATCTCTCCTATAGTCGCCCTTATTGCTCTGTATAATAGCCAGCCTTATCACTCCGCCCAGACAATATCCCAGCACATATAACCACAGTGAAATGTCACCCTTATACCCACATAATATTAACAGTGGAATGCCACCCTTATATCCTCATAATAATAACTCAAATCACACAACAATTTACATGAACTATTATCACGACAACACAACACAATCAATTCAAATCACAATTTGTCCAATGACCACAACCAATTCCAAAGATATAACAAATCAATAAATTTCTCAACAAATAGCCCAAGGCTCCACACAACGTATATAAAACCTCAAAACAACAATAGAGATGGAAAAGTAACTCAGCATAGGACAACGCCTTCATTAATCCAAATTTTAATAAATATAAATTAATGCCTCATTTTAAACTTATTTAATAATTATTTACAGATAAGGATTCCATAATGAATTTAATTCCAAGAAAAATATCAAATCAACAACACACGAAATTCACATAAAACTTCAAGTGACAATAATACCAAATTATCATATAAAATACAAATTCGACAAACAAGGAATGGGGCATGACAATTCAAGGACTTACTAAGTTCCAACAATTTTCCAATTTAATACATAAGGGCGTCTACGAATTTCAACCGATATAATTTATACATATAAACCAAGTACGTACTCGCCACCTCGCGTACACGGCTTCCAATCATACAATACCCACATAAGACTCAATGCCTAAGGGATAATTCCCCCACTCAAGGTTAGGCAAGATACTTACATTTTTTAAGTTAGGCCGATATTTCAAAATCGCCTTCTTGCTTGAATTGACCTCCGGACAACTCAAATCTATAAAAATTAATTCTATAACTTCATTAAAATTCATCGAAAATAATTCTGGATATTAAAATGTCGACTTAGAATTTCACATTTAAAAAGTCAACCAAAGTCAACGCGAGGCTTGCATCTAGGAACCCGATAGAATTTTTACGAAATTCGAACACCCATTCCGATACGAGTTCAACCATACCAATTTTATCAAATTCCGATAATAACTCGGCCTCCAAATCTAAATTTTCCATTTTTGAAAGATTTTGCAAAAATCCCAATTTCTTCCATTTAAATTCGAATTAAATGATGAATATAACCATGGATTTATGAAATATAATAATTTTTAGATATAGCACACTTACCCAAGTTGAAGTCTTGAAAAATCCTCAAAATCGCCCAAAAACCGTGCTCCAAAAATCGAAAACGAAATGAAGAAAATGATCATTTTTTGTCCTTAAGTTTTTGCCCAATAAAAACACTATTTCGGTGGCTAAAAGTCCGATTCTCGTCGCTAAAAGTGCCAAATATGGTCGCTAAAGGTGCGCACCAGAACTGTTTACACCATCAGTTTATGTTTTACTAGAAAGGCTCTAACTCCTTCATACGAACTCGAAATTCGATGATTCTGTTACAACCCATGTTTTCGTACGTACGAGTCGTCGTAAGTCTATTGATGTAAGCTCAGAAATGAAATCATATTTGAAAAGTTTAGAAAGTAAGTTAATCATATTACCTCGGAGGTTATAAATATTGAAGATCATGAACAACAAGTACAAAGATGGTTGGAAGATTCAAAAGCTAAAGGAATTGAAAAACATAATGTTTCGTCGAAAATCGACAAATTGGGAATGTTATAGCATGTACTTTTGGAGTGATACCAGGGTGTTTAACATGATAAGTAGGTTATGTTATGAGTTATTTTAGTCGTATGATAGTCGTGTGTTATATTTTGAAGTCAAGCGAGTGGTGGAACAAAAGTCGATGAAAGTCATCACAAGTTACGTTCATAAGTTTTACTGAAACTTTGGGTCCAATGTAACTGACATTTTCTCCCAATATATGTAGAGTTATGGGGTGTTCCACCCATCAAATTAAATATATATGAGTCTATTTTCCAACGCATTAAACCGTTTGTCAATACAACATCGGAGTAGAGAGATATGGGAGTTTTTCCGAGACTGCGCAGACTGTCACCTACTTGCTTAAACGAAAATCCAAAAATGGGCCTCTTCGGGTCGTCCAAAAATAGGCCAGTTCGGGTCATTCAAAGAGGAATTTTTAAAGTCTTATCCCCTTCATATATTAGGTTGATAATATGGAAAAATAACCATACTTAATCTCTGCAAAACTCCTCCCAAAAATTTCCCCCAAACCCCAATTGATTTTTTCTCCCTTTCAAGTTCTAATTGGAGGTAAAGCCTAGAGTTTGAAGAACCAAGATAGGAGCCGAGTTATCCAACAAATAAGGTAAGTTTACTGCTCTCTTTCATCTATTTTTTCTGCTGTATATGCATAGTAAGTCGTTCTATATTTGTA